GCTCCCCTCCCCAACCCCAGCTCCGAGGGACCGGCCTTCCCGGCAGGAAGGCGAAGTCCCCGGTGCAAGGTCCAAGGACCAGCAGCCGAGAACGCCCAGGTCCCGGAGCCAACAGGTGCGGGGCGACCCCCAGGCCCGGGATGGGTGTCCCAAAGGACCCGCGGCGGGGGGTGGGGGGAGCCGAGAGTTGGGGGGTGATCTGGGTATCCGGAGGCGGCGTTCCCAGCCGGCTCTGCCATCCTCCCGGCAGGACCCAGCGGAACCCCCGGCGCCCTTGTTCCCTGCGCCCCACTCTCCCCGCAGCCCCCGAGGTGCAGGGAGGTCCCTCTAATGGAGCGGGTCCGCCGGCGCTAGGTGGGGAACGAAGGAGTCCCCCCCCCTTCCCCCAGGGGTCTCCCAGGACCAACAACCCTCCCACACTTGTCCGGGGTCGTTCCTGCCCAGCCAGGAACGAGGGAGGAGGGAGGGGCGGGGCGAGCCCGAATTTATGAATGGAGGGAGCGGCCGCGCGCCGGCCCAGCGACCCCTGGCGGCCGTCGGGGCACATGGCGGCCCGCAGGATTCGAGGTGGGCAGAGCAGGGGGCCTGAGTGCCCGGCAGCTGGGCCTGGGGCTCTCCCCTATCTCTCAAAGAGGATGTCAGTTCCTCCCCCAGCCCCTGCCTCCACTGTGTGGGTGGGTGTGGGTGGGTGTGCGCGCGCGCGCGTGCGTGTCCGCCGGAAGGGTCTGGTGGGCGGGGCCTGGGTCTCTAACACCTCCCTTGACCCTTTTTTCCAACCAAAAATTAAGGCCTGTGAACTGACTCAAGAGAGAATATTTGCAATCGGATGTCTTCCTTCCCAAAATCTGTGGTGTTCGGTGGATGCAAACAGACCTGGCTTAGTAGCTTTGTGACCTTGAACAAGGGGCTCAACCTCTCTGAGCTTCCATCTCCTCGTCTGCAAAGCAGGGCTCCCTACTAGTGGCACCCAGCAACGCCTTCCCGTGCCAGGTTCTGGGTGATGCACTTGGCACTCATTAGAGCTCATTACTCCTCACCGCCACTCTGTGAAGTAGGTACGGTTATTACCCCTTTGGACAGATGGGGAAACTGAGGCTGAAAGAGGCGAAGTTACCCAAGAGCAACTTGTGTGGAATTGGGATGCAACCCAGGTCTGTCTTCCTCCACTGCTTTCACGACGTAAGAGGGAGCTTACATGCAGAGCACCTGGCACACTCCCTAACGTTTCCTTCCTTCCTTCCTTCCTTCCTTCAGGAATTTTGGGGCTGGGACCCAAAAGACCCGGGTGCAAGACTCTGGGCCTCCTGAGGGGAGTGGGCTGAGGGCTGGCCCGGGCTCCCCTCCCTCCGCAAAGCCCAGGATGCCCCTCGGCTGCGGCGGCTCCTGAGCTCATGGAGCCCTCAGCCACCCCAGGGACCCAGACGGGGGTCCCCACTGGCAGCGGGGAATCGTCCCCCGTGCCTCCAGACTATGAAGACGAGTTTCTCCGCTATCTGTGGCGCGACTATCTATACCCGAAGCAGTACGAGTGGGTCCTCATTGCAGCCTACGTGGCTGTGTTCCTCGTGGCCCTGGTGGGCAACACGCTAGGTAGGTCTCGCCCTGTGGTGCTGCAGGCTTCCCCCGGGGACTGGAGGGGGTCCTGGGGCTCGCCTGCTCCTCTCCCCACCGCACCTCCATCCCTCACCTCCTGCTGGTGGGGTGGTGTAGGGGGAGGGGCTCGCTGACGGGGCGGAGCTAGGATGGGCGTGGCTCTGCCGTGGGCTTCACCTCACTCCGCCGCACCCGGCAGTCTGCCTGGTGGTGTGGCGGAACCACCACATGAGGACGGTCACCAACTACTTCATCGTCAACCTGTCCCTGGCTGACGTGCTGGTGACAGCCATCTGCCTGCCGGCCAGCCTGCTGGTGGATATCACCGAGTCCTGGCTCTTCGGCCATGCCCTCTGCAAGGTCATCCCCTACCTTCAGGTGAGCTCTGCCCAGCTCTCACCACCCCCTGTCACACCTGTACAAAAACCATGGCCTTAAATAGATCTCAGTGACCCTCAGACTTGTCTTTCAGACACGTCTCAGTGGCTCAGGACCCCTGCAGTGTCATCCTCTACTGCCAGCAAGGGCAGGCCATCAGGCCCAGCACTCAAGGACACAGACACACAGCCCCACGTACTCATAGAGAGATCCCCTCCTGGTCACACCCACAGACATACATGGCCATGCGTGGACACATATAGTCATGTCCAGGTACACAAGCACACAGTAGCGGTGAGAGAGGCACAAGTCCACAATGACACTGACACAAACACACTGGGCCAACTCCCTGATCCCAAGAGGGGCAGATTTGAAGGCACCTGATGGAAACAGTCTCCTCGCCTCCCCTCTACATCTGGCCAGAGTCCTCCATCCCCCTATGGTGGAAACGAGGATGTCCAGATGGGGTTAGTGTAGTGGAAGGTGGCCAGGGGCCGGTATGACCTCTCAGTTTTATCCCCCGACCCTCTCCATGAGTCAGTGCCTACCCACACCACTGACCCAGACTCATCACTGTCTCCCAGAAAGAGGACTTTTTTTCCTAACAGCTTCTCTAACAGCCAGGGGAAAGGATGGCATCACAGGGCAGAGAGAAATGCCTTTTGGATTTCTCATTGTTTGGGGGTTTTCCACTCAACTGATTAACTCTGGTGACGCTGAGCATAAAGACAGACACGTGAGGGAACTTTGTGCCTCAGTTTCCTCCTCTGTAACATGGGGTAATAGCACCCACCTTGTGGGGTTGTTGTGAGGATGATGAGAACAGTGCCTGGTATATATTAAGTTCCATAAGTGTTATTATTCATAGTAGGGCAGCACCAGATTTCGAACTGGACATTTTCCATATATGATTTCATTTATTCTCACAAGAATCCTGCCAGGAAGATGATATATTCCCATTCTGCAGATGAGGCCCAGAGAGGGTGAGTGACTTGCCCAAATTTACATAGCCAGCATAAGTGGTAGAGTCAGGATTTGCACTACACCTGGCTGCTGGCTATCTCTGGGCTGTAACACCCCCCGCGACACACACACACACACTCACCCACCCCTATGTCTCTGGGTGGTCTCCAAGAGGACTGATGTTGTGTCCCCATGGGGTAGGCCGTGTCCGTGTCAGTGGCAGTGCTGACTCTCAGCTTCATCGCCCTGGACCGCTGGTATGCCATCTGCCACCCACTGTTGTTCAAGAGCACTGCCCGGCGTGCCCGTGGCTCCATTCTGGGCATCTGGGCTGTGTCGCTGGCTGTCATGGTGCCTCAGGCTGCTGTCATGGAATGCAGCAGTGTGCTGCCCGAGCTAGCCAACCGCACCCGGCTCTTCTCTGTCTGTGACGAACGCTGGGCAGGTAATGGTGGGAGCCTAGGGCAGGCACCCCTGAAGTGGGCACCCCTGGGGCACATACCCTTAGGGCAGGTGCCTATAAGGGGCACTTTCAGGGTGGGCACCCCCAGGGTGGGTATCTCATGAAAGGACACCCTAGAGCGGGCATCTACCAGATGTACCCCTAGGGTGGGTATCTCCTCCAGTGTAGACATCTGCTTGGAGGCCCTCCAGGATGGGCACTACCAATATTCCTCTCCGCCATGGTGCCTATATGGGGTCCAGTTGCCCCCAGGCCTTGCTTTGGCCCAAATTGGGACAGAGTGGCATTGCTAACAAGGCAGGCTGGGGCTCCCAGATTGGGGCCAACCCTTGCATCTCTTGGCCCCTGCAGATGACCTCTACCCCAAGATCTACCACAGTTGCTTCTTCATTGTCACCTACCTGGCCCCACTGGGCCTCATGGCCATGGCCTATTTCCAGATCTTCCGCAAGCTCTGGGGCCGCCAGGTGAGGCCCACCCTGGTGTCACTGTCTGGGATGAAAGAGGTGGGGCTACTGGTCTAGGGAGAAGACAGTTCTCTGCCTTCAGAAAATGCCATCCTGGCTGCAACAGGAGAGAGGCAAGGCCCAGGGACAAGCTGAACTCAAGGCCGAAAGTACTAGTGCCCACCCTGGAACAGAATAGTAATTAACATCCTTCTGAGTAGCTGCCATTTTTTTTACTATTCACACCCAGCTAGTCTGGCATCCTCCTAACCACCATATCTCATGCTCCACTTAATATGTGAGAAAACTGAGCCTGTCTCTGTGTGCCGGACAGATCCCCGGCACCACCTCAGCCCTGGTGCGGAACTGGAAGCGGCCCTCAGACCAGCTGGAGGAGCAGGGGCAGGGCCCGAGCACAGAGCTGCAGCCCCGGGCCCGCGCCTTCCTGGCCGAGGTGAAGCAGATGCGAGCTCGGAAGAAGACGGCCAAGATGCTGATGGTGGTGCTGCTGGTGTTTGCCCTCTGCTACCTGCCTATCAGTGTCCTCAATGTCCTCAAGAGGTGAGAGCACTGAGCACAGTTTGGGGTGGGAGAAGCTTTGGGGTCCAAGGAAGGAGGCCTCCCTGCTTTAGAGAAAGACCTGGCCTACCACTTCTCCATTGTGTGGCAGGAATTGGGACAGGTCGTTTCTCTTTTATGAGCCTGTCTCATTTGTAAAATGAAAAGAATAACAGTCCTGTCCCCCTAAGGCTATTGTGAAAATTCATTCATTCAATCATCAAATTTTAGGGGGCTGGGTATACAGTGACCAAGTGCACAAGACAGTCAAAGTCCGGCCTTCATGGAAGTTGCATTCTGGTGGGAGAGAAGGAAAGTAAACACAACAATGTATATGATAATGTCAGGCAGGGAGAGTGGCTATGAAGAAAAATGAAATAGGCAAAGAGGATAGAGGTTGACAATGATGGGGTTGGTGGGTTTTTTGTTTTAGATATAATGATTCAAAAAAAGTCCTCTCTGAGGAAGTGACAGTTGAGCAGACTTGGAGTGAGGGAGCAAGCCATGCAGGTTTCTGCAGGGACACTACTCCAGGTGGAGGGACACAGGGGCCGAGCAAATGAGGGGCCACAGGGTGCTGGGGAAGGAACATGGGCTATTGGATAGGAGACATTCTCGGTTTGAGTTTGTGCTTGGTTACCTCCTGCCTGTATGGTCTTGGGCATGTCACTTTACATCTCCGAGCCTCAGTTTCCTGAACTGAAAAATGGATGATGTCTCTGACTCATCATGTTGCTGTGAGGATGGATGAGAAAGTGGATGAGGAGCCCCAGGGGACAAGATAGCCGCTGACTGAGCAGATATACCCTGGTCACTGTCCCTAGGCGCACTCTGGTCATACTTTCTGAGCTTGAGAACCCAAACCTGTGGTCAAGACCTCAGACCCAGAGGCCCAGGAAAGGGCCACCCAGTGGACACAACTCTTGTACTTTACAACTCGAGTTCTGCGAACAACATGCCCACACATACAAACACACCCCTCTACCTCATTTCTGACTGACTTTCACCCTCGTCCAGGGTGTTTGGGATGTTCCGCCAAGCCAGTGACCGAGAGGCCGTCTACGCCTGCTTCACCTTCTCCCACTGGCTGGTGTATGCCAACAGTGCCGCCAACCCCATCATCTACAACTTCCTCAGCGGTGAGTGGGCTGGGTTGGCAGAGTAACTGAGGGTGGCCAACAGGCCCCAGGACAACAGTCTCCCCATCCTCAATCCAGGGCCCAAATAAAGGATGGTGGGGAAGGATACACCTGCTGTCTCTGGGCCTGGTGACCCTGCTCTGGGAAGTCCCTCCCCTCCACCCCAAAGAGAAGACTTGGCCCTACCCAGGAGCCCTGGGTTGAGTGGGAGACAGGCCACACTCCCAAAGTGGCCAGCACCCAGGATCCAGTTTTGCAGATCCTGCAGACCAGTGAGTGGAAGGGCAGGGGCCAGGCCAGTTCACCCGGGGTACGTGCACAGCAGGGCCTCCAATCAGCCCCACTCTGCTCAGCACTGGCAGAGGAGTCCATCTTCCATAGAGGGAGCCCCTGCCTAAGGGGACAATTGCATAATCCAGGTGTTGGGGCTAAAGGAGAGTCACTGGCAGAGGCAGCCCAGGTCCAGGAAAGGGCTTCCCCTGCCCAGCTAGTCGCACACTGGCAGAGTGCCCAGAATCTTAGGAGCCATCCCTGGGTCTACCTACCTTCAACACCAGCCCTCCCGCTCTCCCCTCTGGAAGTTCAGGCCCCCCAGTCCTGCACTCCCACCCCAGGCCTCCTCTCTCTGCTCTCCCACGGTCCCCACCTCCTCCCTCTACCTCCCAAGCTAAGGGTGGTAATGGCCTGGCCCGCCAGGCTGGGTTCAGCAGAAGTGTGACTCACCAGACCTCTGACTTTGGGCCTAAGCTTCTAAAGAACTGGTCCAGTTCTTTAAACTGTTCAAGCCTTGACACAGTCTTTGAGAAATGGTTAAAAGGTTAAAGAAGGGATCAGGTCTCAATATAACTTCCACTGAGACTCAAGCATAACTCAACCAAGGCTGGCCATGGGCTTCCACCTCAGAGGAGAGAACACTTCAGGGGAGGAAGGGCAGACTTCCTGACATGCATGCCTTTGTTTGGCCTACCCTACTGGGCACCTACTGTGTGCCTGGCTCAGTGCTGGGCACTGGAGAGCCTGGCTGGCTGATGACACATGATCAAAGAGGCTTCAGCTCCAGACAGAATCTGTTTCCCTGGTACACTGGAGCTGAACAAAGTGGTATCACTCTTCCTCCCCTTTAAAAGAAGGGCTTTGGAATTAGAACCTGGTTCAGCTTCTGGCAGGTGGCCTTGGGCAAGCCACTGTACCTCTGTGCGTCTCATCTGTGAAGTGAGAATAGAGAACTCCAACCTCTCAGGGTGCTGGGATGCTCTAGTGACAGAGGCTGAGGCACCCGGCACAGTGCCTAGCACAGTGTGACTGCCATATGTGAGGGCTGCTGCTGCTGTCATTCTCATCATCACAGGGCAGAGACAGGAAAAGCCTAGCAACAGAGTGAGCCCTGAGTCACCCCCACACACACACCGAGGACGGCAGAGGTGACCCAAGGCCCCTGAGCCAGACACCACATTTTGAGCCAGATTCTGAGCCAGTGGCAGTCAGGGATCAGATGACAATTGCATTTCTCCTGGGAACCTGCTCCAGGGCCTCTGCCTTCCCTCTCCCTGGCAGTGCCAAGGTTGCCCTGAGGCTCTCCATCCTGGCTCTACCCCTCCCTCCTCACCCCCTCACAGGCAGCTTGGCTAGAGCTGCGTGGGTGTTCCTGGGCTCAAGGCCCTTCCTGCTGCATTTGTCTCCTTATGGCTGTGTCTTTTGTCTCCCAACCAAGGCAAATTCCGGGAGCAGTTTAAGGCCGCCTTCTCCTGCTGCCTGCCTGGCATGGGTCCCTGCAGCTCTCTGAAGGCCCCCAGTCCCCGTTCCTCTGCCAGCCACAAGTCCTTGTCCTTGCAGAGCCGGTGCTCCGTCTCCAAAGTCTCTGAGCATGTGGTGCTCACCAGCGTCACCACAGTGCTACCCTGAACGAGGGATTCCCTGGCGGCTCCAGGGGTGTAATCTGTTCCTTGCCTGGGCTGCTCCTCTGGCTCCTGAGGGATCTGCCCCTACCCCTCATGGGAACACTGCTGGATGCTGTGAGGCTGGGGCTTCAGTCCTGGTTTTCTGCCTGTGTGACTCTGGGCAAGTCACTTCCCCTCTGAGCTTGTGTCTCCTAAGCAGGGTTGATGTGAGGGGTAAGCATGCTCAAGAAAGTGGAAAGCTCTTTGTAAAGTGCTGTGGACATGATTATTGTTGTACTTCTCTCACTTGGCTAGGCCCCACAGGATCATCCATCCCCATCATCCTTCCGAGCTTGGCATTCCTCCCAGAGACCCCTCTCCTACCCAATTACAGGCCTTCCCTGGAGTCTGCTATAAAGGTCCCAACAGGCATTTCCATCAGGCCCAGTGGTTCCCTAAAGCCCAGGGCAGCACTTGGCTAGCTGCTCTGATGCCCATGTGAACTACTCTGGGCCCAGCTCTCCTTCAGTGGGCACAGCCCCACCCTTACCATGTGCCAAGGGCACGCACCATGGACTGGACCTTGTTGGCTTTGTGGTGTGACAAAACACTCTCCATGGCCATTTGGCACGGAGGCCAGCAGCCCGAAGCAATTGTAATTAAAAGCCTGGCACGGAATGTTCCCTTTCCTTGTCATTGCACAAAATCTGTGCTGCTTAGGTTAGAAGCAGAGGAAGGTGGGGAAGCTGGAGGAGTGGAGAAGACAAGAAGGCACTGGAATGTTATTATCTGCTGACCCCCCACCCCCATCCCACTGGATCCCAGACAAACTCATAGCCAGGCCTCAGAGCACACGTGGTGCTGCCTCCTCATGTGGGCCAATCCCCTGATGCCCAGAACCTCAGTCCTTGACACACATATCTGCTTATGGGACCGATGGCCTGTGGAAGGTAAGGGGGTAGGGTGGGCAGATAACAAGTTAACAGACTGAGTTACTGTTATCTCCACCTTCTTAGAAATCGGGGCTTGCATTTATTTTCTATGAACTCACAGAATAAAAAGAGAGCCACAGACTTGGCCAGACTTGCTCCATCTACCACTGAGATAATTACAGGGCTGCCAGAGGCCCCAATCCTGGTTGCCAGAGTAGGACATGGGATGCAGTCTGAAGTGCTGCTCTGCTGACAGGAATGGGAGACATCTGGCAGAGGCCAACCCAGCCATGCACACCACCAGGTCTGCTTAACTTGATTAATGGAGCTGTGGGCTTCCTCTGACCTCACCCATCAAGAAGTGGGGGCAGAGCCATGGTGCTGCTAGGGACCCAGCCTAGAAGGGCTTAAGCACCACTCCTATTAGGCACCCTGCTTCACCCAGAGCAGGTGGAAGTTTCGGTCTAAGTATGCCACCGGCTCCCAGATAACTCACCAGCTCAGCTCTCTGTGGACATTGCAGTTGTTGCCAGGAGGGATGGGCTGTCCTGCCCATTCTGCACTCCAACTAGCCTTAGGATCCTAAGCTGTTTACAAAGTTTGTAGGCAGGCTTGGAGGTGCAGTGTGCAGAATGAGGTGTGAGGGCTGGCCCCAAGCTCAGAACCAACCATGTCCCCAAGGATCAACCCAGGTCTTGGCCTCCTCAGCCCCAGCCAAGCACAAAGGTGAGACTGTGAATAGCACCATTCTAAAGACGGGTTTCAGCAGACCTATGGCTCAATGGGACAAAGAAACAATAGGACCTTCCTCTAATGGCTGCAGTTCTACTCTACTCTGCTGGTTGGACCCAGTACCACCTTGGGCCCTAGACCCCCACTTTGGGGTACTCTGATGAACTGGAGAAAATTCAGGGGAGGTGAATAGGATGCCAAGGGGAGTGATGCTCAGTGAGGAGTTGCTGAGGAGCCCGGAGCTATCTGGTCTAGGGAAGGGAGGACTTGGGGGAAATGTGGTGGCAGGCTCCACTATCTAGAGGGTTGGCATGCAGAAAGGGATGATGGATGTCCTGGGTGGCCCAAGAGAGAAAACCAGAGCCAATGGGTAGTGTTTCCAAGGTGGCAGCACTTAGAATCCACATCAGGAAGAAGTTTCTACCAGTCAAGAAGGAAATGTTCTGCCTGGAAAGTCACTGAGTTCTTTTCATTGGAGGATGGCAAGCAAAGGAGGGAATCACAGGGGGCCACGGAAGAGATTCTAGCTCTGGATGGGGGCTGGCCTCTGGGATCCATCTAATTCTGAGATTCTAGCAATACAGCAGCCCAAAGAGGAATGGGGCTGTACTGGCTGAGTCCAACATACCTGCTGGGCCTCACTGACCTGCAAAACAGTCATAGCTACTTCTCACAACCACTCACTTGCAGGGAGGAGAGCCCTGCTCAGGGCCTCAGAGCTGTTATCCTCATCTCACAAGGCCAAAGGATAATCACACCAATACCCATGATAAGGGCCCCCTGGCAAACTAGGATGTCTGATGTC